AGCTGCAGGAAGTTTGGGGCATAGTGGCTGAAAGCACAACCTCCAATGGTGGGGCAGAGGGTGCGAGGGACGAACAAGAAGCTGGTGCCAATCGAGGGGAGGTGCCGTGTGGTGGATTGGGGATTGAGATGGTCGGAGAAGTGAGAGGTGCTGACACACACTGAGCCGGGCTGACACACACACACTGAGCCGGGCTGACACACACACACACACGCACACTGAGCCGGGCTGACACACACACCACACACACACTGAGCCGGGCTGACACACACACACTGAGCCGGGCTGACACACACACACTGAGCCGGGCTGACACACACACACTGAGCCGGGCTGACACACACACACACACACACTGAGCCGGGCTGACACACACACACACACACACACACACTGAGCCGGGCTGACACACACACACACACTGAGCCGGGCTGACACACACACACACACACTGAGCCGGGCTGACACACACACACACACACTGAGCCGGGCTGACACACACACACACACACACTGAGCCGGGCTGACACACACACACACACACTGAGCCGGGCTGACACACACACACACTGAGCCGGGCTGACACACACACACACTGAGCCGGGCTGACACACAGGCTGACGCTGACTGGTGTGCAATCCACTAGCTTTAGGATTCTTGCCAATCTGCAAAAAAATAACATTATTTCGAGCAGAGGATATTGAGCTGACAAAATGGACAGAGGGAACATTGCGGAGGGAGTGATCTGGAGGGGATTATCTCCTGAGTGAACAACAAGCAAATTGAAGTCTGTTGGCCCCGAAAAAAAATCAATTCTCTGATCTATGACCCTCTTACATCATTGCAGCTGTGTACGTGCTTCTCAGACAGGTGTGTGGGTGTGTGTGGTGGGGTCTGTGTGTGTGTGTGTGGGTGGGTGGGGGGGTGGGGTGGGAGAGGGTTCTGTGTGTGTGTGGGGTTACAGGTCATCACACAGTAAGCGTCAGTCAGAGCAAGTGCTGGTTCACAATTCCCCAGATAATACACAACATTCACTTCCAGGCTGTTTGTAGGGATGCGCTGTGCAAATTAGCTGCTGTGTTTCCCGACAAAGTACACGGTGACTACGCTTTACAGTCAACTTTGTGAAGCGCTCTGAGACGTCCTCCTGACGTGACAGGCCCTGGATTCAAATGCAAGGATTATTATCGTATCATTATTATTATAGTTACACCGTTAACCAATTCCTACAATTTTGTTTCTTTTTTTTACTCATGCAGCACTCATCAACTGAAAACCGATCGCAGAAAAGTTTGGCTTCGAAGCGTCTTTGAACGAAATACGAGGTGGAGGTGTGGAGTTATCTTACACGTGGAGCCTGGCAGTGGCAAGACTGGCCCGCCACAGAGCACCGAAAAAGGGAACAACTGGCATGTCCGGAAGCCAAAAAGCGGCTAATGTCTCCAGTAGGCAGGACCCCTCGTCTGCAGTGAGTGATGGGCTGGAGGAGCCTCCCTGTAGGACAGAGGAGGCAAATCAGGAACAAGATTGTGGGAAGGCGCAAGAGCCAGCGTTTCACACACTGACTGATTACTAGAGGTCTAGATATGTGTAACTGCAGACTGCAAAGCCATCACTTAGCTCCCGGACAGTCTCCCGCTGTCCTGGCGACTGACCATTCCCCCTCCCCCCCCCCCACCACCAGGTAAAACTCATCGCTCACTTTACGGCTGCCTTAGGTAGGACGTTGCACTGCGGAAATTATTATTATTATCATTATTATTATTAGCTGCTGTGTTCGCCTACAAAGTACACAGTCTCTACACTTTACAATAAACTCTGTGAAGCGCTTTGAGACGTCCTCCTGATGTGAAAGACGCTGGATCAAATGCAAGGCTTATTATTATATTATTATAATTAACCGTTTTACACTATGAACCTTGAAAATAAAGGGTCATCAAACAGCGAGAAGATGAGCGGCTAAGCTGGGAGCCCCTCCTCACAGCCCAGAGACATCACTCAGAGATTCTTCTACATACACTGTCCTCCGCACAGTGCCCACAGCTCTCTCCCACCATCATAGCTGTCGGGCATTGACATCAGGTAAATAGAGGACAGGGACCCTCTCCTTAGTTAATGTCCTTCACACCAACCAGGGACTGAGCCCCACAGACCACTGACCCCAGTCCTCCCCCTCGCCGCCCAGCCCATAACGCAACCACCCCAGCCCACCCTCGTCAGCCCCGCCAGCCCACACCCAGCCACACCAATCAACACAACAGTTTCTAAACAGGACGCACTCTAAACACAGGTAAAGGAAAATTATGATCACGATTCACAGCATTGTTTTAACTCCTGCTGTGCTTCAAACTGGGTAAGAAGTTCACCACAGTAGGACAATATTAAGCAAAAAATGTTAAACAATGTAAACCAAAAAAGGAACTACCAACAACACTGAACTAACTAAAGTAGCGAAAGATTTGATGCACAATTTCGAATAAATCTCCTTTAAAGCACCTTAAAACCTCTTGGAAATGGTTTCTCGCTCCTAATGGTTTGGATTTGAAACGAACAGTCAGGCAGTCAGAAAATCCAGGCACTGATTACTCGTGGAAGTGCAGAACCTGGTCTGACGCTGATCAGTTTGACCTCAGGCTACTGGGGTTTAGCAGTTGCACAGAGAGGTTCAGATATACACTGACAACTGCAGTTTCCTTCACGTAACAGGAGAATGGGAGCCGGTGTGTAGTATAAACACCAGCATAGACTAGGTGGGCTGAATGGCCTATTTCCGCGCCAAATTATTCTGTTGTCAGCCTGGCTCAGTTGGTAGAGCTCTCGTTTCTGAGCTAGTGGGTTCAAGCTCCACGTCGGGACTTTGGGTTCACAGTCCAAGCTGGCACTCCAGTGCAGTGCTGGGCGAGTGCTGCACTGTCGGATGAGACGTTAAACTGAGGTCCCGACTGTGCCTGTTCAGGTGGACATTAAAGGTCCTGCGGCGCTATCCGAAAAGAGAAGGGTGATTCTCTCTCCCGGTGTCCTGACCGACAATCCTTCCGTTAAAATTGGTCACTCGCTCCACGGCTGTTTGTGGGACGCTGCAAACGTGTGCAACTGGTTGCCGCGGTTTGCCCACAAAATCCACAGTCACTACACTTTATAGTATATCCTGTGAAGCGCTTATTATCGGATGTGCAAATTGGCCGCTGTGTTTGCCTCCAAAACACACAGTCACTGGACTTTACAGTATAGTGCGTGAAGTATTTGAGACGTCTCAACGATGTGATCAGGCGCTGTATCAAATGTAAGGATTAATATTACTATCGTTAGTGAGAAGCTACACGCAAGGGGATGATCTATCAGTGTCAGGTGTTAACTGACTTGCCCTCACACCTTGCTGTCACTGTACGTGACCGGTTTGATGAACTCTGCCATGATCTATTCAAGTTCACTGCTGGTTCGGAACCGAGCTCGTCCATTGAAAACAATTTGGGATAATTGGGTCACCTTCGCGGATTATACACTGGTTTGTTTCTCTCCAGATGTTATCCTGAATTAAATCCCTTGAGAAAAACCATCCAGTGATTAAAACGTTTAATGTCTGGGCTGACTCTTTCAGTGCCGAGGCACGTTTGACAGCGAATGCAGTGGAGGGCGGACGCGTTGGGGGTGGCCATTTTGTCCGGCTTAAGCGGCGTCCGATGCTAACAGAAGTTCCGGCACCCCTTCCCGCCCAGCGGAGGAGCGGCGGCAGCACCGCCTCCCTCCCATTGCACTTCCCATTGGACGGGAAGGGGACCAATTAGTGGCCGCTCCGAGGTGATTGACAGCCTGGAGCCACTCGTGAACGGATGGGCGCTCCAACCAATCACAAGCGGCTCCGGGCTTGTCAATCAATCGCGATTTGATTCCACCCATTCCCTATCTTGTTTCTTCCCCGTACCTCCGCGCCCTTCACTGATTGACAGCCCAACTCCAGGCGCTTGTGAATGGCTGGAGTCCGCTGTCGATTTCAGCCTCTATGTGTATCACTCACTTTCCCTTCACGAAATCCCCGAGTGATTTCAGGGGTTTGACAAAACTCTCACACGTTTACACACTTCCCGCGTAGAAAATCACGGTTTTGGAGAATCAGTGATTCCGGGGATAAATGCTGGATTTACTTTAACAATAATCTCCAATAAAATTGATCATTCAATTCTATGAGACATTGCCGTGTGCAAATTTAGCTGTTGCATTTGTCTACAAAATACACAGCCACTACACTTTACGGTAAAAACAAAAAATCTGTGAAGTGCTTTGGGAAGTCGAGACAACACAATAAGGCGTGAGATCAAAATAGAAGGATTATTAATAATATGATTATGTTATTGCAGTTTAAATCATTATGAAGAGGTAACGTCTTAATAGTTTTCAGTGATGGTCAGCCAGACCAACAACATTGCCACGTTGCAAGTGGACGAATGGCTGTTACTTTTCTTAATATATTTGAGCTTCCTAAAATAGCTATCTTTTGCAGGAGGCTGATACTTTATTCACCAGGTACTTTATCAAGCCATTTCCGAATAGTTTTAGTAGCTGTACCAGTTGCACCAATGACTATAGGAAATATGTTTGTTTTATACTGTAATGCATTTCCTGACTTTCTCTAGTTCCTTATGTTGTCACATTGCAATCACTTGGATTATTATTATTATTATTACAGCATTAGTGTTATTATTATTGCAACGTTGACAAGAGAGGGAGAGCGGGGGCGGGTAAATGAGGTTTTAAATGAAAACTAGCTCAGCCATGGTCTGACCAAACCATTCTGTATCAAGCCGGATTGGTTTGGGGACGGATTGATTCTGTGGCAATGATGAGACACTTAAACCTAATTGAGGTTGACAGGAGACAACACTGGACTTGTGCCAACCGGCTCGTCCCCGTCTGACCCATAAGGGCAGCCCGCAGAGTGAAATGCTGCTGGGTAATGGCTTTCTGTAGTAAAGATGTCACAGAGGCAGAACTAAAGATCAAGGAGCTCTGTAGCGTAATGGTTATCGCGCTCGCCTCGTAAGCGAGATGACCCGGGTTCGACTCCTCGGTGGGGCGAAACCTTAGGCAAGTTTCCTTACTCCGCACACACACGTGCACACACACGCCTCTGTTTACCTAGCGGTAAGCAGGAACCCGCTTGTTAGTCGATTGGGGGATCGCTTTCCAGAGGAAATAATCCCTTAAAAAAAAATTGGATCACTCGATCCAATCAGATGCCGCGTTTCGCCCATAAAATATACAGACAACTCACATCACTGTGTATCCTGTGAAGCGCTTTGAGACGTCTCGAAGACGTGATAAGATGCCATATCAAATGCAAGGATTATATTATTATTTGTCACCGGGTAATTTTACCGCTCCTCACTGTTGGGGACAGCATTCACATTGGGTGACAAGTTCGGGACACTGTATTATATCGCTTTCCGGGGGTAATAATCCCTCGAAAAAGATAATTTTCAGCACTCAATTCCACCCCAACAGGAAGATCGTCATTCGTTGGTCATTATTAAGGCACCTGACGACCAGCTCCTGACAGTTAACAATAATGCCTCCCATTGCAAATTTACAGCAGGCTCCCTGATAGCTCTCAACAACAGCTCTTAATGAGCTCAGCCGGGCAGATCATGGTGTCAGCTTGTTACCTGCGGCAGAGATTATCTGCTAAGCACAGGCAGAGTGCCTCTGGGTGAACAAACAGGCTGAGAGACTCGAGCTCTTTCTCCGCTTCATCTCACAATCTCAAATTCCCTGTTTAACTATGTCAACTGAGTTTCCCCACAGGGCAGATTAATGGCTCCAGGTGGGGGTGGGCAGTGAAATCCCTGTGGAAGGTCACCTTTGGATTACCTTAGGCTCCTTCCTGTTTGACACACAGCCTGTGAGTCCCTGACAGTTACATTTAGAACTTTCTATCAGGGGAGCACATCGCAGGTCACTCTAAAATCCTAAAAGACGGAGAAAATTATTGAAATATTTATTTCTAACAGCGAAGTCCCCAAGCCGATTGACTGATCTGGAGGTGAAGTCACCAGGAGAACCTCCCCTCTCTCTTTGTAAACTGTCGCGCAATCTTTGACGTCTCAAGGTGTGATGTTTTACGGAGAGGAAGGAGTTTCTCTTGTTTGACATCCACCTGAAACACTCAGGCAGGGCTTTGGTTAGTATCTCACTACAAGGACAGCACCTCTCTGACAGTACAGGGCTCCCCCATCCTCACCCAGCACTGGACTGGAGCATCAGCCTAGACTCTGAGCTCAGTTAGGTCTGAGATTTAGATGAATGATTTTAGTGATTAGCGTGACAGAGTAACCAGCGTGATTGGTAGCAAAAGCACGGTTGAAAAGATTGGTCTTAAATTGGGTTTTGAAGCTGGAGAAGGAGGGACCGAGAGCGGGGAACAGAGAGCACTGATGGTGAACTGGAGACATAGGAATAATAATAGTAATAATAATAATCCTTGCACTTGATACAGCGCCTTATCACATCTTCGAGACATCTCAAAGCGCTTCACAGAATATACCGTAAAGTGAATTGACTGTATATTTTGTGGGCGAAACGCGGCAGCCAATTGCGCAAAGCAATGTCCCACAAACAGTCGTGGATTGAAGTGACCAATTTATTTTTTTTAAGGAATTATTACCCCCGGAAAAGCGAACCACCAATCGATTAACAACCGGGTTCCTACTAACTGCGAGGTAAACAGAGGCATGTGGAGTAAGGAAACTTGCCCAACATATTGCCCTGCCAGGAATCAAACCCAGGTCTCTCGCTTGCAAGGCGAGTGCTCTAACCACTGAGCTACAGGACTCCAAAAGGAACATAAGAACATAGAAATTGCTGGACAAAAACAGACAAGGTCCATCTAGTTCACCTTCTACCATCCTGGTAGTCACATGCTACAACAATGGAGATGGCAAATCGTTCTGTATGGATTAATCTACAACAGAGTGGAAAGCTTTGGGAGCTTTCACCCTATACCTCCACCCTCTGTGTAAATACAAGTTGTTGTATGTTGTGGAGGTAAGGAAATGCCAAGTGGGAGACCCGGATGTAGGGTTTGAAGGACAGTAATAATCTGACTGATAAATCTCATTTAGTGATTAGAAGCTTCTGAAAACACCTTCACTGACGTAATGAATAATTCTTCCAATTCACGTCTCACCGTATGTACTCCTCTCTCTGTCTGCGTTCCTCACCTCAGAGACGGCGGTGTTAGCTTTCCGCAATCGTTGTCTGTTCTTAAACATTATTTCATTTTACAAGTTCTAACAATCGACAGTTTTAATAAAAATGAAGCCTCACAAAACTCAGCCTCTGGTCGTGAATCTACGCGATTATTGTGACACTGACCAAAGAGATATACGGCGCAGAAAGAGGCCATTCGGCCTATCGTGCCTGTGCAGGCTCTCTGAAAGAGCCCCCCCGGTTTAATCCCATTCTCCGATCTTTCCTCTCCACATTTCCGCATCCCACCTTTTTTTATTTCTTCTTTTTAGATATTTCCCTAATTCCCTTTCAAAGTGCAACACAAAGTCTGACTCAACACTCTGGTAAAACTCTCTCCCCAAACCTCTCCTCTGCTCTATCGGTGATTACCTTCAGCCCTATAGTCAACAAACAGTGGGAATTATTTCTCTCTGTTATCAACCACCACCTCGTAATATTAAAGCCTCTCTCAAACCTCTTTCTCTCTCTATCTCTTGTCTCTCCCTCTCTCTCTTAGGTCTCTCTCTCTCCTCTCTCTCTCTCTCTCCCTCAAGCAGACCCAGTTTCTACGAACCGTTGCAAACTAAGACCAGGACAGATGTGCAACCCCAACAAGTTACTAGTGATATCCAGTCAGTGTCACTCACTCCACACAATTCAACACAGGTTCCAGGAAGCAGCGAACGTTAACGACACTACAACACAACATGGTTTACATTCACACAGCGCCTTTCCCATCAGGTGGACAGCTCAAAGGGCCTCGGCGGGGCTGGATGGCTACCTGAGCCAGGAGGGGGTGAGGGGAGAGGGTGGGAAATGTCAGGCGGATCCCCCTCCCCCACCCACCCCCTCCCCTCCAACCCGATTGAGCTGATTTATATAATATTTTCCGCAAATATTTGGACAGTACCTGCTGGGCTTGACGTGCTCCATCGTTTCAGGTCATTAGACAACGAGACTGCCCATCCCACCGCCAACCACCCCCACCCCCCTCAACCTCCAGCGAGTGACCTCAAACGTTGCTATAGAGACCCGGCTCCCGCATCAGGAGCTTTAATCATCAGATCTGCACTCAGAGCAGTTATCAGATTAAACCAGTTTATCCGTCCGCCCCCACCCCACCTCTGCCCGCCCGCCCGCCCTCATTGCTGGATTCTGTGGGCGTATCGCCAGATTCATCTGTTACGTGTGTGGGCAGCTTTTGTCCGCTGAACAGTTGCGGTAAACCCCGAATAACTCGTTGCTCGCTCCAAAGGAAAGGGCTCAGTCGCGAGTTTTCTCTCCCCGCCGACACCATCAACAGCAACAAACGGCATTTACGCAGGGCCTCTCGCGTCAGGAGGAACGTGCCAAGGCGCTGGGCAGCCAAGGGATTTTGCACCCGAGTTGTGGGCTGGAAGCAGGAGGGGGTTTGGAGCACAAAGGGAAAGCGAGGGGCAGAGGGCGAGCGAGGGGCAGAGGGCGAGCGAGGGGCAGAGGGCGAGCGAGGGGCAGAGGGCGAGCGAGGGGCAGAGGGCGAGAGAGGGGCAGAGGGTGAGCGAGGGGCAGAGGACGAGCGAGGGGCAGAGGGCGAGCGAGGGGCAGAGGGCGAGTGAGGGGCAGAGGGCGAGTGCGGGAGGGGGAGAGGGCGAGCGAGGGAGGGGGAGAGGGCGAGCGAGGGAGGGGGAGAGGGCGAGCGAGGGAGGGGGAGAGGGCGAGCGAGGGAGGGGGAGAGGCAGAGGGGCTCCGGGATGGAGCAGGTGCCCCCAACCTGCCCTGAGCGCCCGCACCAATCACAGGCTGGCACGGCCCTCCGATAGACCAAAGGCCAACGTACGATGCCCGACGATGCCATCTCGTCGGGGGAGTTACGTGGTCAATATTACATTGCAGTTACTTACAAGAATTTGCACGATGCGATGAGTTGACACATTAAGGGCGAGTGAGGAGTGAAGCGACGTCCCTCATTAGTAGTTTGCACAGGGAGTGGCCGGGATACTGGCAACAGGACAACTTCAGGAATAGCGACAAGTTAAGGACAGGGTCGAGCGATTTGGCGTTTACTCAATCAGCCAAACTCTGAGGCAATTGTCGTGGATTCAAGCCCCACGTCAAGAGTTTGAGTTCACGGTCTAAACTGACCCTCCAAATCAGAGCCGGCGGGTGGGGGGATGGGGGGTGGGAGTCGGGGGGTGTTGTTGCATTGTCAAAGGTGCAGTCCTTAGGATGAGATGTTAAACCGAGGTCCCTGTTCTGGTGCAATGTTAAAGATCCCGCGGCACTATTCGAACAGAGAAGGGAGTCTCTCTCTCTCTCTCTCTCTCTTTCTCTCTCTCGCGGTGTCCTGGTCAACAATCCCCCCAAATAAAATTGGTCACTCGTTCCACGGCTGTTTGTGGGACGCTGCTGCTTGTCAATTGGCTGCTGCGTTTCGCCCACAAAAATACGCAGTCAACCCACATTACGGTATATCCTGTGAAGCGCTTTGAGACGTCTCAAAGAGGGGTGGGACACTAACCGGCCACCAAATGCTGAACACCAACAGTGCCCTCTTTATCTGTGCGGGGGTCGGGTGTCAACAACAACAATTTGGATTTATATCGCGCCCTTCACGTGAGTTGGCATCCCGGAGCGCTTAAGAATGTCAGAGAATTAGCCACGAGAAGGTATCCTCACTTCTGAAAACTAACATCCCTCTCGATGTCTGAGTCTGTGTGTGTATGTGTGTGTGTGTGAGTGTGTCTTTCTCTCTGTCTCTCTCTTAGTCTGTGCATGCGTGTTTCTCTCTCTCTGTCTCTCTGAGTCTGTGTCTGTCTGTCTCTCTCTCTCTCTCTCTCTGTGTCTGTCTGTCTCTGTCTCTCTGAGTCTGGGTATGTGTGTGGAGGCTGGAGATGGAGGGAGATGGGTGCGGGGGGGGTGGGACGGGAGAGAGGGAAACTTCACACACACCAACAATCAAATGAATAAGATGCTGGTTGCAGTGAGCTCAGCTGATCATCGCTTTACACATCAAATGCAAGGATTATTATTATATTATTATACAGATCAGCCTGCACATGCCCCCCACCCAACCCCCCACCCCACCCGCCCGCCACACAGACACACACACTAATGCAACCGTGCCTCAGCTCGTGTCACTTACCAGTAAATTAACGAGAGACCATCCAAAGCCTCAAGCTCTCTCCCAGGAGGTTTCAGATAAGACATCTCATCCAAAGGAAACGGAGGGTCGGGTCAGGGTTAGAGTTAGGTCAGGGACTGGGCAATTCTGCTCCCGAAACTCCTCCTGGACAGCCTGACAGCCCGTAGGCTGAGAGCTCCTCCACCGCCTTCGCTGTCACGTTGGATGTTGCAAGCGATAGCGGAGGATGGAGACTCCCGTTAATCTGGAGCCGGACACGTGATGGCTCACCTTTCCACACCGCCCGGGCAGCTCTCGCAGTAAAGATCACCCAGCAATGGCTAGGAGCGGGCATTGCTGCCCACCATCACTCCAGGGCTCCTCGCACTGTGCCTTCAGTCAGTCACCTTGTCTCCAATGGCAATACACAGCCCACCGACAGTGACTGATAATCTGTGTGTGTGTGTGTGTGAGGGAGCGGCCATGGTTTAATCTCTCACATGATTACCTTTACTTCTGACTGTGGCTGGATTAACCTTTTGTGGGCCTGGCTCCGAAGAGATTTGTGTGCCCCCCCCACATTGTTTTCATCTGCTCTATTTATTTGTTCTTCCCTTGATGGAAATATGCCCATTTAACCACTTACCCAATCGGCAAAATTTAACACTGTAATGATGATCAATAAATGATGATTAAAAGACTGACAAGCGGTGTCCTGTGGTGTAGTGGCTAGCCCGCTCGCCTCGCAAGTGAGAGGACCCGGGGGCTATTCCCGGGTGTGGCAAAACCTTAAACAAGTGTCCTTACTCTGCACGCCTCTGGTTACCCAGCGGTAAATAGGGACCCGGTTGTTAGTCGATTGTCAGATCGCATTGTTAATCCTCCCCTGCTGAACACCGTCTCTCTCTTTCTCTTAACTATCCTCAATCTTCCTTCGTCTATCACTGACTGCCTCTCTGGGCCTCTGTGTGTCTCTCTAGATCTGATTAAGGATGTGGTAGTGCAGTATTTAGGGCACAATATAATTAGGCCAAGTCAACATGGCTTTACAAAAGAGAAGTCATGTTTGACAAATCTCATAGAGTTTTTTGAGGACATTTCCAGTAAACTAGATAAGGGTTAATCAGTGGATGTGGTCTATTTGGACTTCCAGAAGGCATTCGATAAGGTGCCGCATAAAAGGTTAGTCCAGAAGATAAGGGCCCATGGAATTGGGCGGAGCATATTAACGTGGATTGGGGAATGGTTAACGGGTAGGAAACAAAGAGTAGGGATAAACGGGTCCTTTTCAGATTGGTGGGATGTGACTAGTGGAGTGCCACAAGGATCAGTCCTTGGGCCTCAGCTATTTACCATCTACATCAACGATCTAGATGAGGACATCGAAGTTAATATATCTAAATTCGCGGATGACACAAAACTAGGAGGAAGTGTCAACACAGAGGACGACATTAAAAAAATGCAGCGAGACATAGATAGGTTAGGTGATTGGGCAGGTAGGTGGCAGATGAAGTATAATGTAGGGAAGTGCAAAGTCATCCACCTCGGGAGCAAAAACAGTAGAGTGGGTTATTTTTTAGAAGGGGAGAGATTGGAATGTGTTAGCGTCCAGAGGGACTTGGGTGTCCTTGTACACCAATCACAGAAAGTTAGTCTGCAGGTGCAGCAGCAATTAGGAAGGCGAACGGTATGTTAGCATTCATTATGAAAGGATTAGAGTATAAGAGTAGGGAAGTCTTGCTGCAACTGTATAGGGCCCTGGTGAGACCACACCTGGAATACTGTGTCCAGTTTTGGTCTCCTCATTTAAGGAAGGATGTACTTGCCTTGGAGGGGGTGCAGCGTAGATTTACTAGGTTAGTACCAGGGATGAAGGGGATGAGTTACGAGGATAGGCTGACCAATTTGGGCCTATATTCTCTAGAATATAGAAGAATTAGAGGGGATCTTATAGAAACCTATAAGATCATCAAAGGGCATGATAGAGTAGATAGTGGGAGATTGTTTCCCCGGTTGGAGAAACTAAAACCAGGGGTCACAACCTTAAAATCAGAGGCAGCCCTTTCACACTGAGTTGAGGAAGAACTTCTTCACTCAAAGGGTGGTGAATGTATGGAACTCACTACCCCAAAGGGCTGTTGATGCTCAGTCCTTGAACATATTCAAGACTGAGATAGATAGATTTCTTATTGCAAAAGGGATTAAGGGATATGGGGATAAGGCAGGGTCAGGTTATTAGCTGGAGTTAGATTAGAAGATCAGCCATGATTGAATGGCGGGGCAGGCTCGAAGGGCCGAATGGCCTACTCTTGTTCCTACGTGTTATGTTATGTTATCTCTAACTCTCTCCTTCTGTATCTCTCTGGATTTCTCACTCTCAGTCTGTGTGTGTGTGGCTTCCTCTCTATGTCTCTGCATTTCTTCTGCTTCTGTGTGTCTCCATCTGCCTCTCTCTCACTCAGAGTCTCTCTGTGTCTCTTTCTGTATCTCTGTGTCTCCATCTCTCGGTGTCTCCCGGTGTTTCTCCCACTCACAATCTGACCCCACGATTTGGTCAGTTAGGAGTGTCCACCTTTCTAGATCCAACCGCGCATTAGGCTACCACTTCTACCCCTACCCACCCTACCCTCCACTCTCTCTGATCCCTCCCCGCCTACTCGGGTCCAAATCCCTGACTGTCCAGTGCCTTGGGACGTCCTCCTGATGTGAAAGGCGCTGTGTAAATGTAATTTGTTGTTGTTGGTATTCGATAACACAATGGAATGGAGAGGCTGGCAAGGGCCGAGGTCACACGTGTGTCACACACATTGGAGACTCCCGGTGTGATCAGGAAGGAGCAGGCTGGCTTCCGTTCTCGTGAGGAATGTGTGGGACAGGTTGTGGCTCTGTATGAGATCGTGGAACGTGGAACGGCTAAGTGGAAACCCACCTACACTGCCTTCATCGACTTTCGCAAAGTTTCAACCCTGCGCCTCATGAGGCCCTCATGATGAAACTGGAAGCCATGGGAGGACATGGCCGAATCCTGGATTTTATCCAGATTGTGTATGTGTGTTTAGTTAGATTAGTTTCCATTTGTATGTGAATGTCAGACACGATCTGATGTCTGGTGGTCAGGCAGTGAATTTGGGCACAATTACCTGTACTGAGGAGTCAGCTCCCTCTCGTGGAACACACGCAACAGTACAACCTTTAATCTAGTGAGCAATCTAATAAGGGCACCGCTCACTCTATACATAGAGAAAAGTGAGTAGATTTACAACCTGTAAGGTCGGAGCACACGCAACCTGTTAAAGGGCTGTTTAAACCATAAGCAGGACATCTCTGTCCCCATTGTACCTCTGTCCTGTTAAAATAAACATTCCTGTTCATCTCATAAGAATTCACTAGACTATAGAAAACCAAGGTCCAGCTAGTTCGCTTTCCACCATCTGCCAAACTATACACTGTATCCTGAGATATCATTTTCTAGCGGAAATCTACCTAATTTGTTCTTAAAACAAACAACATTGCCTGCTTCCACTGTCTCCCTAGGGAGCCTTTTCCGTAAATTTACTACATGCTCACAGAAGTAGAGTGTCTGCAGATTCGATCTGAATTTACCCCGCTTCAATCGCAGGCCGTGTCCTCTGGTTGTACTGTTCAGCACAAGATAAAACAGCTTATCATGGCCTACATTATTTAGTCCCTTTAGCATCTTAAAGACCATAATCATATCGTCCCTCAACCTTCTCTTCTCCAGTGTGAAAATGCCCAGTTTGTCTAATCGCTCTTCGCAAACCAGTCCCTCCATCCCCTCAGTTATTTTGGTTGCCCTTCTCTGTGTCCTCTCAATCGCTGCAATGTCCTTTCTGTATTGGGACGTCCTCCCGACGTGAAAGGCGCTCAACAAATGGAATCTTGTTGTTGTTGTTGTTAAGGTGACCAGAACTGCGCACAGTGTTCCAAGTGTGGTCACACCAGTGATTTATAAAGTGGCAGGAAAACCCCACAATTTCAGCTCAATATTGCCCTTTTCATACAACCCAGCCTCTGGTTTACTTTACTCACTGTTACCGAGCCCTGTTGCGATAGCTTCAATTTATTGTCAATCAGGATCCCCAGGTCCTTTTTATTTTCCGTACAGATTATTTTCTTACCATTTAAATAATAGTCCCTTCCTGGATTCTTTGTCCCTATGTGAAGCACATGGCATTTCTCCAGCAGTGGCCCCTGTCTTCCTGGTCTATATGTAAGTGTGTATCTCCCTCCAACTCGTGTATATGTGACTATGTCTCTGGGTATATCTGCCTCTTTCTTTGCTGTATCTGTCCTTCCCTCTCTGTGACCAATATCCTCTGCATATGTGTGCATGTGTGTGTCTCCGTGTGTGTGCGTGTCTGTGTTTCCGTGTGTGTGTATGTGCATGCGCATGTAATAACACACAATATGTATTATTGTTTTCACATAAAAACGAATGTCTAAAACTTCTTTACAGAATATAAAAATAATAATCCTTGCATTTGATACAGTGCCTTATCACGTCTTCAAGACGTCTCAAAGCGCTTCACAGAATACACTGTAAAGTGAATTAATAATAATAATAATCCTTGCATTTGATATAGCGCTTTTCACATCGGGAGGACGTTCCAAAGCGCCTCACAGAACACACTGTAAAGTGAATTGACTGTATATTTGTGGGCGAACGCGGCAGCCAATTGCGCACAGCAATGTCCCACAAACAGTCGTAGATTGAAAATGACCAATTTATTATTGTTTTGTTTTGGAGGGATTATTATTAGGCTCTGTGTGGAGTTAGGAAACTTGCCCAAGGTTTCGCCCTCTGCCTGGAATTGAACTCAGGTCTCTCACTTGCAAAGCGAGTGCTCTAACCACTGAGCTACAGGACTCCGTAATTGCAAGTGTCAGAGGAACATCCAGTCTACTCTGCAGTAATTGTGCCATGTATTCCAGTTGATGCTTGACAAGTTAATAGCCAGGTTTAAAAACTACAAATTTAAAGAATACTTGTTTGAGACAGTCATCACATTATATGCAAAACACTTTTTTCCATAACTTTTACTTCAGTTATCCATTCCATTGTACT